ATTAGTGAAATAAATTATCACTAACATTTGGTTGTTTAGTTGCTTATTGTACTACAGTATACCTGGAGGTCCAAGATGGTGAATATATATACTAGTATATTGGAATCAAATACAGTGCTGAACCAAACACTAAAATGAGTAACAAAATACTAGACTTGTTAATGAAAAAGGATACAATTGCTTGTGTTTTCCCTGAAAAAAAATAAAAAACTTGTAAACAAATTAAATTTACGATGCTACATGTACATCTGTATATGTACTACATGAGGACAGCGAGTGACACAAAATGACAGCATTGCATTGCAAGTCATTTGTAAAAATTGTAAAATTCTAATATGGGTAGTTTTCAAATTGACCAATTAACAGAAAGCAATTTATTTTTCCAGAGGTTGTGTATGATATCCAATTGTGTGATACAATAGCATACATAAAATGTATATCTGAAAATATAATGAGATATCAGTAGCATCGGACCTAGGTGTTATTAGTGGAATGGAGTATAGAGTGAATTTTTAGTTTTGATGGGTCCCGCTAGGCCTACATTGTATGCCATACATGTACAACGTAGTATCTGTCCAATGTTTATTCAATTTGGATTTGAAATTGGCCGTGTTGTTAGCCTCAAAAAGCATTTCCTAATTTGCATACATTGTAATCTGAAAAATATGGATGGATTTATTGAAAATAGAAAATGTGAAGACTGAAGCTAGGCCCAAGCTTCTAATTCTATTTGTTGTATTTAACAATGTATCGTTGGTACATGTACTACCTGTTGTATATTTCAATTGATTTTTTTACAACTTTATTTATGTATGCACCAAATCTTGAAATCATAGGGGATGAGAATTTATTTGCAGAAATGTTTTCAAGTACCGATAAATTTATCTATTCAGGCTTAGCCAAATGTGTTTTTAGTATTTTAGAGCTTTTTAGTTTAGTTTATTTTAGTTTAGTAGTTATGTAATTTTTTCTCTCTTGCTCTTGGTCATGGCATTTTATTTGTTCCGTACCAAATAAAATTTATCTTTATCTTTCGAGAGTATCAAAATATTTGGGAAATGCTCCATGTGTAAATTAGAATCGTAAACTATTAAATTTATCACTCTTACCAGAGACCCTCCATGCTCTAACCCAGGTCACATCTGAACGGAAGATCAACAGACCCCCCCCCCCCGCCTACTGCACCAAAAGGAGCTGGACCAAGGCCATATAATCATTTAGGTTTTTTGACAGTGTCGCAAGGGAAGCTACTCAAAAACACAAGGAGCAAAGTAGACACTTGGGTATCAACCACAGATAATATAAACAGCATTTCATTGGCAGACTAATTTCCATGCACCTGAATTCTCACCCAACAACCCGTTGTGTTTACATCGAGTTGATCGTTGCAAATACAAACGACAAAAACATACCGAAATTACATCATCATAACGTATGTAAAGCAACAATTTTACAACATGCTGTAAATTTAGAGTAATGTGATTTTCACACGACAGGATTTTTGTGTGTAATTTCCTAAAATAATGAGATATAATTAATTGTTATCTTAACAAATTTAACTTTACCTCTGTTCGCTTGGACCGCCATATTGGAATGTGTAACCTGTAACCTTTGACCCGAGTCGTTGAACTGCCACGTCTTTATTGTTTAGAAATTTCGACATTCATAATACCGAAATTACGTAGAATAATAGAATCAACCCCCATTGCTCGTTATCTCGCCATTTACGCTGAATTACAATAACGGCCTATGAATAGATCCGAGGCGATTTCCCGGCATGCACAGCGAAGTTCCGGTCTCTTCAAGATGGCTACTCCAGGAGGTCAGACACCTAGTATTCAACGTGGCATCGTAAAACAGGTAAGGTATTAAGGTAAAACTTATCGAAATTCGGAAATGTGAAAATATAGTTAAGATGATTTGTATGCGGACTCTATACCACTTTTTTATAGTTGAATACTCCGAAATCGCACAATTTTCATTGTCCGATCTTCCCATATGGAAACCAGCACCGCAACGCCGGTCAGACAGTGTGTTATAGTTTGAATCCACGCCGGGCGTCCAACGCGTAGAAAATAGCCTTATATTTTACTTCTGTACTGGTATTTGATTTGAATCACACTCATCATAGATCAGCTACATTACAATATGTCTTGGTGATTTGTGTGTAATTATGCTTTTACACATGTGTGATCAGTTGTAATTTGTTTTTTCAATTTTGAAGAAAGGGGGTAAAATTGCTACCAGCTTTTAAGATCCGATGAGAAATGCACACAATTAAAAAAACATTGAGAGAAAATTCTGAAAAAAAGTACATGTACAAGTGTATTACTATTAATATTAACCGTATGGGAATACATTACAAATCTGCATGTTTTATAAAAGTTTTGTGGATATCTATCTATCCATATGGAATATTTACTTTCTCTTTCAACTGAGTACTGGTAGTGTCTCAGTGGTACATGTTGTATCAAATGGAAATTCCATGAAATGTTTACTGTGTGCTGTGATGCATGCAAATGTAGATTTGCTTCTGAGTAATACTACATTGGACATGTACTAAAGCTTCGCGTCATTACAAGCTAAATACATTATCAACATATAGTGTAGTATAGTATATTTTATTTGTATATACCAGAAGAAAAAACAACTTACTTAACTAGTACTCTATCTCAGATCTGACTATACATTGTAAATGTGAATGATCTGTACATGTATGTACAGATATTTTTTACATCATCATTAAGTCTATGATTTCCCAGGTTAAAAATACAAAATTGTTTTAAATAATCTTGCGCGTTCTTTGAAATATACTTTCCAATGGTTGTGTAGTTTAAAAGTTTGTAAAACACTTTTTTGTATAGATACACAAGTGTAACATATGTGCTCTCCAGTGTGACATACTGGTACCCACATGCTAATATTAAAAAAAATAGTATTTTAGGTTTATTCTGTTTATCACTTTGAAAGTAGGAAACAAGGTCTGTACACCAACTTATCATATACTGTATAGAAAATGTTTATTCTTTGATTAAAAGCTATAATTGGTATTACTTTTATTATCTTTTATTTCAGGACAGACCCATATAAAAAGTAAGAAAGAAAAATATTAACAAATTACACAGTATGCATTAAATAAAATCGACCACGCCACATTTGCCATATACGTGATTTAAAAAAAAATATCACTAGATAATAGATTGATTAAAACAGAGTTCTTACTCAACAAAATACGTTGCGAAAAACTGTAGCACATTTTTCTAAGTTTAACCTGAAAATCATCAACATGTAGTCTGGCGAAAGTCTCTGTTATACTACTATTAAAAGAACGAGAAACATTACATATAATTCTAAGAGCGTTGTTATACGCAACACGAATACGATTAAAATCTGCCACAGTAATATCCGACCAAAGGTAACTACAATACAAATTTTCCGTCCTGGGTAAAATGATATCCTAAATAACAATACCGACTAACAAATTGTAGTGGCTTGCCATTAAGATAAACATTGGGAACTCGTTTAATGCC